AGGAATATTCCTGGTGTTTCTTCAGGCCCCTGGCATACCTGACTAACTTTGGACAGAAACCCCCCATTAGAGTCTGGAGGTAGACTTTCAGCCTCTCCCTACATTTTTCTGTGTAGAATCCCAACTGAGTCACATCACAGAAAATCCAACATTTATGAGATCTGATTTGGTGGCCAGTCTTCCATCTGGGCCTGGAACCAATTTCTAAACTTCTGTTCTAATCCTGTCCCTCTCCTCAGTAGGAAAGAGGACTTGGAGCAGTTGAAAACAATCATCCCAAGTTGGTTGGTGAGTGAAAAGAACTGAATCCAACAGGTTCAGTGAGCCTTGCTGGCGTCTCAGAAAACTTAGGATTTTATAATTTCCAGTTATAAAGGTTGCTGATGACAAAGGGCCAATGGACTAGATGTTGCCTGCCCTCAGCATCAGGTTGGTCCACAGCATGCGATGGAAGGGCCATGGAATTATCCCCAGCTAGTGACTCCTCCCTTTGAGAATGGGTGTGTGTGTGGGGAGCTCCTCCATCACATACCTTCCCATAGCTCTCATCCTGGGGTACCTGGGGGTAAAGTGGTGGGATAGAAAAGAACCCTTTCTCCATGTTGCCTGGAGAAAGAAAGAAAGGGTACAGGGGTGCAGTAGGCAGTGGTCTGTCCCCCTCTCTCCTTTGAAGAGAATGACCCCATTCCTAACACAAACATTTTGTAGTGAATCATCAGCTTTGTTTTTTGTTGTTTTTAAATAAAATGAATGAGAATTAACATAACATGGTCAAATCCCATACCTCCTCTGGCCTTTTACAGCTCACTATACACCCTCAGGTTCCTGTCTCTGCTCAGACAGCCTTCTCTTTTATTTTTCTTCTCCCTATTATTTTAGTCTCCTGCCTTTTCTCTTACTTTCCAGACATGAAAACTTTTTATCAAAGTCCTTCTTGTGGTTTCCTTTAGTAGTCTAGAATACTGTATGCCTTTAATATTTAAACAAGAACAGAAACATACATATACCAAAGCAGAGATAACTCTAAATTTGCATCATTACAGAAAAACTTGTACCACGAGAAGCATCTAAGACTAGCAGTAGGGTTTTCTTTTCACCCTAACCAATGATAATCAGCTTCCCCTGCCACCACAATGATCAACCACAGGTTCTCTGTTAGGCACCCAAAGTCCTGCCGTGTCCTTATCAAGAATGCCTTCCCCCACTCCAGATAATGAGCCCCGAGTCACTGACTTGGGTTTGAAAGTCCTTGGAGTGGTCCAAAATAAGACTCAAGGGAAGAAATTGAGTTTGACTGCCCCACTCCTAAGAGAAGTAAATGAAGTAACATTACAAACAACAGGAAAACACAAAAATAACACTGACAGAAATACATCAGCTCAGCACTTAAAAAAGAAACCCGGAACCAAAACAGGCTGATGGCACGTCTCCCTGGGAAGTTCCCTGTTCAACCAAAGGAACCCTCTGTCCCATCCAGGTGGGCCCAGGACATCTCCCAGTCCACGTGGCCTCTAATGCATCCATCAGTCAAAATCCCAGCCTACAGATTCAGTTATTTTGAGCCACGGTTTGGGGGGGGGGGTGCACAGACCACAGAACAAGGAACAGAACAGACCCAGACAAAGAGGGCTCACTTCACTTACCAACCAGCCAGGTGGGCTCAACATGGTGGGGTTCCCTGGGGAACAACGCACCAATTGTTAGTGTCTGAGAGAAGCCGCCAATGAAAGACCAACAGCCATGTATGTGATAACAAGAGTGCTTTATTGATTCCAATGTTGGGGTAGCACTTGGCGACCACTAAGGAAGGTCACAAACTCCTTTTAAGCAGAGTTAGGGAAATTCCAGGGAGGAGAGACTAATCTGTGACTGATTGGTGGAGGAAAGATTAGTCTGGGGCCTGATTGGTTGGGGGGGGGGGTCCTAGTGCTTAGGGACCTTCTAGCAGCAGGGTAGGGGAAGCTATCTTTAGTTATCAGGAGACTGGGGGTCATGTGCTGAGCCAGCAGAAGGGGCCATGGGGTGTCTGCTGAGTTAGCAGAAGACTGGGATGCCTGCTCCTAAGTTGTGGTTTTTCTGATGACTGTCTGTTTAGCCCTGTCCCATTTTACTGAACCGAAACTAAGGCCTGATCGCTATTAGGGCTACTAGGAGAGCCTGTCTTGGCTCTGGTCTACCACCACCATTCCCCATCCCCCGCCTAAGCTTTCTCACTGGGGCCAGGGCTTTGGGGGAGGGGTTGATTCAGTTTCTGAGACTTCAGCTCTTCCCATCACATGGAGCTATGGTTATCAGTCCCAAGGCCTCTGTGAGCTTGGTCAGTAACGTTCTTAAGATACACTGTGTTCCCCTTGTACAACATTATTTTATTAGTCCTCCCTGAATTTGTCCCGTTGTATGGTAGTTTCTTTTACAGCCTGGGAGAGTTCAGCTCTCAGGGCTGCACCTGGGGTCACTAAGAAAAAGCTTTTTAAAGTAGCAGGGCTTAAAACGACTTCCTATGTAAGAAGATTCATACAATCCGAGGATCATTCCCTTTGATTCTTCTTCAGCTCAGGTTCTCTTCATTGTTTTGTTCTCCTTGTTCTCTGTATTCCATTCCGCTCCAATTCTTCACAGCTTATTTCAACAACAAACTTTCTGCAATAAAAAAATTACTAAAGCTGAGGGGAGTGAGTGACCATGGCAGCCCCGGAGCGCAAGGTCCCTAGTTTCCCAACCTGAACCTGGGGCCACAGTGCCCCAGACGCTCTGCTGAGGAATTCATGCAGGGGGTGATTGTGGTCTTTATCAGCTAGACTTTTAGTAAGCAAAGAATTGGTGTAGTATTTTAGATTGCTTTGTATTAATAGCCTTGGTTAGACACCTGCGACTGTCCTTGTTCATATCTGTAAAGTTTTAAATTACGATGTGTATACAAAACCATCCAGTCTAGTTTGAAATTGCTGTGAGGTTTCAGATCAGCTAAATGTGTGTAGCCTGTCTTAGACTGGAGGAAATTGTTGTTTTCTTATGTTATTCTGAGTTAAAAAAACAAAACAAAACAGACTTTTAAGTGTCTTACAGTCCTCATAGGACAATAGATCTAGTTATGAAGCATATCCTAGTATATGTCTGTTCTTCAAAATTATACAGATTAATGAGAAGTCATCTTCCTGACTATCCATGGATATATGTGCTCCTAAGATTGAGGTATAATCATGAGATTACATATACGTATCACATGAGATACACATTACAGTGCAGATATTGGGGAGATACCACAGTTGTTTCTGCACATGTGGAATTACAGAGAGAAGCAACAGTTTCCAGAGTCAATAGTTCCATAAGCCTTGCTTGAACAAGGTTCTCCTCCATCAGAGAATTATTCATCTGGTGGGTTGACATCAGAATTATCAATTGCTATCTGCTGCATTTGCGTCCTGACCCGCAGTAGCTCATGACAGTTTCTGCTGACTTCATAAAAGTCCCCCATTTCTTTCCGTTCCCCGCTAGAAGTAGCATACATGATGCTGTTCTTTTTAAGAAGCTTCCTTGGTAAGAGGCATAGCTTGTGCAGGAGCACCACACCCCAGCCTTTATCTTCTCTACCTTCTCCATTTCCTATCTTTATCATCTTCTGGCACCTCCACCTCAGGACCCTGTCACTGGAGAATGACCTGCTATTTTATGCCGCTGTTATACTTAAGAAATAATTCTGGGAATATCTTTGCTGTGTAAATCTCCCATGGGCCTAAGTTCCTGTCCCTATTTAAATTGTTCAAAGTGTAACCTGGAGCCTGAACCTAAAATAAGAGTGACAGGAAGTATGCAATGCAAAGTCTGTTCTAGGCTGGCTCCTCTTTGAGCATTAGAGTAAGGTGAAGCATACTAGGACTAAAGCAATTTTTCTTTATTAAACTCTTAAATGTATAGAGTGATTTCTTCTTGGGCAGGCATATTACTTCTAGAACATCTGCACTTCCAGCCTTTTAGAAAAGTATTTCTGAAACAAGCTCTCCTATGTTGTTGACTCCAGTAGCCTTGATCCCAGTCTGTTGCTCTCCAGGTCACTGACCTTGCTATTCTCTATAGTACACTTTCTACATTCTTAAGTGACTATACAACCTTGGAATTTAAAAATTTTTAAATTATCAGCTATCTATTGCAGTCACAGGAAAAGATTTCCATGAGGAGCATGACTTCTGCCTTCAGACTAGACTAGGAGGAATAGTTCATGTTGTACACTGCAGAGGGGAAACAAGGCCAACAATTAGCTGCTGGAGTCACAATTATGAAAAAGGACTTGATTGTGGCAGGGGGAGTAGTTTTGTAATTTCCAAGTGTGTATTAATTCATGTCCTGTGAATGAAGGCAGACCAAAATTGGTAGTTTTTCCATATTGAGAAGGTTAGCTTGAGCCAAATAAAGATCTTCCAATTAGGGAACTTTTCTGTGCAAATATGTTCAGTCCTGCTTGACACAAAGATTGGTAAACAGAACTTTGACTGTTACTCTGTCAGGTTACAGATTTCAGCAGCCAACGTCTATCAGTCTCTTATTAATGGCGTTCCCTCTACTAGGGAAGGGACTACTCTTTTACTCTTTTTCTAAGTCAATATAGCTAAGTTTTTTATCTTAAAAATAAATCATTTTCATCATTTAAAAATGCCAATTGCTGGTATCATGTTTGAAAATTTCATTCTCTGCACTGGAGAGATGGCTCAGATGTTAAGAGCACTGACTGCTCTTCCAGAGGTCCTGAGTTCAATTCTCAGCAACCACATGGTGGCTCACAACCATCTGTAATGAGATCTGGTTCCCTCTTCTGGCCTGCAAGTATACATGCAAGCAGAACACTGTATATGTAATAAATAAATTTTTTTTAAAAAAGGAGAAAATTTCATTTTCTTTAATTGCATTACTGCTCTAATCTCTATTTGTTTCTGTTCTCCAATGTTTCTCAGTCGTTAGGAATTTGATTTCTTTTTCTCAAGTACTATTGATTTGTTTCTGTTTAGAGCAATGCCTTCTCTATCCCAGGCTTGCACCACACTATCAAGTTGATAATTGGCTTGAAGTCCTTCTCCTTCCTCTGCTGTCCAGTGCTGGAAAGACAGTTCTGCAGCATCTTCCAGGCTGGGCCTTGACTGGTAAGTAAGAAAGAAACATAGACCAGTTAATGAGTATCCTGCAACATCTCTAGCTTTTATTTGGGAAAATGAAGAGTGACCTGTTCAAGAATTGAGTTCAACGACCAACTTTGAAGCTGATGTAGTCACAGTGCAGAAAGGAAGGGATAGGATGGAGGTTGAAAGCTTTCCTGCTTTGCAGTAGTTGAGGTTAGCAATGTGGATCAGGTAGTCAGGTTTAAATGATCAACAAATATCCTGACTGACCGCTTACTGGTGTTCACAAATGAGGGCAATCAAGAATCAGGATAAAATCTGACCCTATCACGAAACCAAATTACTATAGTTACACTTGTTCAAGTACAATAGAAGATCTGGCTAAATTATGTGGCTTTGCCTAACAAGACTATTATTTTTATAATTTGAGATGCACATCCTGGGAACAAAGGATGTAACCCTTCATGTGCTCTCATACAAATCCCTAGTCTCTGGAGAACGTGGTTATAAAGCCTGTTTCAACTTTTCAAAATAATTCTTTGAGATTATAACTACATCATATATAGTCTCTTTCCTGCCTCTAAGCCCTACCATGACCCTCACTGTTTTCTAATTCATGGCCTCTTTTTTCTTTAACAATAGTTACACAGTAACAACAGTTACTGTTAGAGTGTGACTTGTGTTTGGCTGTACTGGACATTGAGTGTGTAATGGAATGTGTACAAGACTGGAAGAATTTCTACTAAATTACAAATTTCCTAGACCATGGCCCTGTCTGCGTCTAGGATTGGGAGAAAAGGAGTTTCTGAGCTGCAGAGATTTTTCTGGTATGCTTGGTGTTAGGTGGGTGGATAAAATGTCATAATCTATATAGATGTTAGATTATTCTTTGACATTGTTTAGTGTGTAGGCATCTTTGAGACTGGGTTTATCTGAAACTTCAGGGGGCATGAGAGTTTTCAGAGCCATAGCAGGAGATTACCTCCATCTGTAGAGTGGGCTCTAGAACATGGGGCTTCTCTTTGGAAGAAATATCTGTAGCTGGAGGGTCAGAAACATAACAATTTTAGTGTCTGTTTGAGTTAATTTGGTAGGTGTTATAAAGTCTGTTTATTTAGTTTTTGTATGCATAGAACCGTAGGTAGTTGGATAACATTGGTCAACATCGCACTTTTTCTGGCTGAGCTCCTTTAGTCTTTTGATTAAAAGTTCACCATATCTTTCTGCTTTTATTCTTGACTTTTTCTCACCATCTTTTTATTCTTTCACAAATATTGTACACATTTTTAATTGTTGTAACTTTGTTGTAATTATAGAAGTCACATTGTGTCAATGTGTGTAGTATTTTTCATTGAGGATTCTTTGTGTTTCCACTTAGCATGTAGCTTTGTAATCAGCTTTCCTGTTATAAATTGTTGGGAATCTTCCTTGGATCATATGCAATTCATGCTGCTAATTTATCATAGACAACATCTTGGTATTGTTACAATGTATTTCCAAAGGCCATTAATTTACTTCTTTATTTATTTAGGTTTTTTATTGTTGTTAATTTATGAAAGGCATTTAGTTTATTGGGTAAAAATACTGTGTTGCTGAGCATGTTGCTCAGCAAAAATTCTTCTTGGGGATGGCCTGAGTTCATATCCCAACTCCTAAGTTGGGAGGCTGATAACCACCTGCTACTCCAAATCCAGGGCTCTGACACCCTCTTCTTTAGCGGTTACCTGCAAGCACATGAAAAAATTGCACATACAAACAGCCACAAAAAAATGGGGATAAACTCATTTTCAAAATTTTTTGTGACTTACAAAACAATTAGAATAAAACAAGGTGCTTTGGGTATACAATACAAATCATACAGTGTTTCTTTCAAAATCTGTTATTGTGTTTTTGGTTTGGAAGACTTTCCATTTCCTCATCCGATACAGACTTACATCCATTCATCTATCTTGGGAAACAAAATGGTTTTCAAGTGATCCTAACAAATATCCTTTTCTTTATCATAAGAAAATATGGCCCTTTTAGTACAAAAATCTATTTTCTACAAAGTTAAAACATCAGACGACTTCGATTGAATTTTTCTAGTTGGTTGAACATCCCTCTCTGAACAACCCATTTTCTGTCATTAGCAAAGGAGAGAACTGGAGTTCACAAGATGAGTGCTAGCCAGTGATTTCTTGGATTTGGATTTTAAGTAGAATATTGCAGTTATTGGTTAAAGGACCATGGTATGTATCTGTAGGAATGCCTTTGTGTTTTTGTCTATAGTGCCATCTATGTTACTGATTTTATTATCACCTAATCATATTGTTGTTTCTCTGGAAAATGATGGGCCTTCACCGGCTTTTGTATTCAGAAATTTGCTACATTATATTATGAGTTCCTTGAGTTTTTGTTTGGGAACTTTCTGTGGACAGATAGTTTTAGTTTTCTTGATCTTAGAGGCTTGCCTTTCCTCATTTCTTGGCATATATTTGTTTTCAAGATATTGCTCTTTTTATGTTTGGGTATTTGCTGCTTAAATGATTGATATGGTTAATACATTGGTTTGAGGTTTTTAAAACCTTCTCATGTTATTGTCTCTTCATATTAATTAATTAATTTCATCTGTCAGTATGACACCATCTGAAGTAACATCAACTGAAGTCATGCCTCATCAGAATGACTGGCTGCTCTCTGTTAGACATTGTGTTGATTGATGAGTGATGTGGGAAGCTCTTCCACCGAGGCCTGAGATGAATAAGAGGGGTAGTTGAGAATGAGACAAGTTGACCAAACAAGAAAAATGTTAGCAAAGTTAGCCCATGTTTTTTGCCTTCAGCCATGAGCTTGAGTTTCCATTCTAAGCTCCCACAATGGTAGATTGTGATCTGGCAGAATCAGCCAAATAAACCTGTTCTTTACCTGAGACTCTTTTGGTCAGAGAATTTAATCACTGCAAGAAACAAACAAGTTAGAAAAAAAAATTGGTGCATCAAAGGTGATTTTCTTATTGCAACCAACCTGGGAATGTTGACTTTTGAAGAATGTTGAATAGATCAAGACTTTAGATGGCAAAAAAAAAAAAAGAAAGCCTCACACAGAGCTTAATCATCTGTTCTTGTAGGACTTGAAATTTGGGAGTGTTTTGAGTAATATAGACAGTAGATTTTCAGTGGGAAATAGACTCCATGGAAAATTTAGCTAGTGGTCATTTGTATGATATTTGTGTCAATGTTGTTCCTATTTTCTCTATTCCCTGAGAGAGTGAGTAAGGGAGAATTAAAAATGAATTGGGCTGATTTCTTAGACAAAGTATTATTTCTGTTGGATGGTTATTACTAATAACTCATTTAGGTCTATAGTGAAAAAAGAAACAAGTAGGGAAGAAAGAAATGAAAAGTCTGTGTTTTGTAGAGAAAAACAGCACTAGGTAGTTTGAGATGATAGTCCACTAGTGAAACAGAGGTAGGAAATTTCAAGGTGTTTAGCACCATTGAGGAGAAGGTCCTTGGTCTGCACTGGAAGCCAAGGAAGGTACCCTAAGGGTCAGACTCTATCTAGTTAAACTCTATCCAGTTAACTAGAGTAGACAAAGGGATTCCTAGTCCCAAGAAGCAACTTCATACAGAATCTGCTGCAACACTGGTCCAAGCATTGTAGGGCCCATCACAACTTAGAAACCAAATTTGGTGGCTCAACAATGTACTGGTTATGGAAACAAGAAAGATGCACATTTTAAAGGTCATGGATTCTTCCTCTGTGGTTCCAGTTCAGCACTGTTGTACACATCTTTGGCAGAGTCAGAAACCCAGTGAGAAGATTAAGAATTCATTGTATAATTCTCTGAAGATTAAGTCTGTGTTGTATTTTGAGATCATAGGATGTTGAGATACCCAAGCAATAGACATCTGCCATGGAGAGTTGCATGCAGTGTGTGGAAGTAGAAAAGCAGACACAGGTGTGAAGATTTGCAGAGATAGAGCTATCTAAGCCCTTTGGGAATGAAAGCCCACCTGTCTGTGACAGAGCTACAGGATTTGGTATTTGCCCTGCTGAGTCCAATCTTCCCTCACTTATCCACATTCCTCTCTTTTTTTTTTTTAAAAAAAAATTATTCCTCTTTCATACAATATAAATTGAGATAGGAAATTTCAAGGTATTTAGCACCATTGAAGAGAAGACCCTTGCTCTGCCTTGGAAGGCTATGAAGGTACCCCAAGTGTCCCGCGCTACCGTCTCGCCAGCAAGAACCACGCGGTACACATAGGATCCTTCTGCAGTAAAGCTTTATGTCTCTTGAGAGCTAGAGCATCAGCTTCCAAAGCGGAGACCCAGATAAGATGGAACCCATCCCTTATAAAGGAAACAGACCCCGCTCTGGACGTGTCATTCCTGGATTGGTCAACTGCTCCCGGTCCCAGGTGAAACCTTGGGAGTAGTGGAAAATACCAACACATGTGAGCTTTCTAGCTCACCTGGCGGTGCAGCGCCATCTATGGTGGAGAGTGTGGTTGCGGCCCTCTACATCTCCCCCTAATTTTACTTCTTTGCAGAAAGGCAACTCCCTAGGAAGGTAAAGATAGAGGTCGCACTTCCCAAAATGAAAACATTAAAATGGGCTTACACGGAATCTGTCCCTAGGCTCATGACACCTGGAACCTATCCGGCCTGCCCTCTGCCAATTTTCTGGGAAAGGGAATATACGGCAGGAAACCCTTAAGCAGAGCGACTTATCTCTCAGAGAGGGTCATTCTCTGTGCGATGCTCTTAAGCTCGACAACCTTCAGGGCTAGCTAAGCCAAGCACTCCACCCTGTGCAATGGACCACAGTCCTAGGGGTGCAGGAGCTGGTTGGCTTAAACCTTACTGCTTTAACATAGATAACCACACATCAATAGAGGCCCCCTGTTCTAGGGCAGCCAGCGCTGAGCAAAAACCACTTTATCCCTATGGCTTTGGGATTTGAGTCAGCAGACCATCCAGAGGAGAAACACTAATCCATAGCATAGGACTGTTCCAAAACATTTCCACCCCCACCCACT